ATAGGTAAAACTTTTAAAAAATTTTCAAAGATTCATGTAGTTGCATTCATCTTGTCAAAACATATTAGGATTGAGTCTAGAATTTCTCTAAGCATCTAGGTTGTTTGCATTTGCATAAAGGGTTAAAGTTTCTTAAAAAGGTGTTTTAAACTTATGAATTGTTTCAATGCCATAGTTAGTAGTTCTCTAATGCTTTGTCTATGCTTTGAAAGTAAGTTATTACTATTCTTGGATCACTTGCTAGGATTTTCGTGACTTGAATTGAACTCTCATGATTTGAAACTTGTCATAATAAGTGAAAACCTAAACCTGCAATTTTAATTATCATCCTTATGCATTTGATAATGAACACATTGTTTTTAAAATATTTAGGCTCTCTTCTTCCTTTTTACCACTCTTTGTGAGCCTAAGTAGAACTTCCACCTTGACCCTTACCCTTCTTTGAAGCCAAATATTTCTTGTGTGACAACATTGTGAGGCGTTCTTTTCGGTTTTGAACTTAGCATAAAGTGTTAGGTTTAGGCGACATGATTTGGTTCTCATATGATTGCTAGCTTTGCATTTTGAAGCTAGGTATAGGCTTAGAATAAGTTTGGGGGATCATTGGGGTTGTTTTTATTTCTATTTGTTCTCGGTTTCAAGGAGTTTGGTGATTGAAAGAAAGAAATGGGTTTTAAGTGAAAGGTTGTGTTTAAAAACTATGTATATGCTCTAATAAATTTCAGGAGGTAGCTCTCCCAAATAAAAAGAAAAAGAAAAGTAAAAAAAAAAAAAAAAAAAAAAAGAGCCTAAGTTCCAAATAAAACTAAAAAAAAAGAGAAAAAAAAATAAATAGGAGAGCTACCAATAAGAAATATTTAAAGAGCAAATTTATTTTTAAAACCTTTTCACTAGCCTAAAGAGTTAAAAAATGTTTTTGTTTCGAATTGGGGAATGCTAAACTTTGAGAAGAAAAAGGGTAGATTCTAAGTGGTGAGTGAGGATAAAAGTTGATAAATGAGAGGGGTTTAGGATCATTGTTAGTTTACATGGGTAGATGAGAATCTGATCATGTATGCATCAATTGTCTTTACCTTTAGCATTATGCATAAGTTCAACCATCTTTGAGAGAAACCCTTGTTTTAATTGAAAACCTTTTTCAAATGAGATCATTCAATGCTCATAACCTTCACCCTTAGCCAAATGTGTTTTGCTTTAAGGTGCATAAGTTTGATTCATGGTTCGAATGTTAATGAATGTTAAAGGATGAGTTTCTTTGATTGTTAGGAATAGGAGAGTCATAATCTGAATTTTTTTGTGTGATGAGTATGGCTAAGTTCTTTGGAGTATGAGTGTGAGCATAGCATTTTAGAACTGTTAACTAGGACATTGAGATTGATTCATTTGAAAGGCACCTTTGCAAGAAGTTTAAACCCCCCCCATTCGTTTTTTAAAACCTCTCTTCCTTACTTATTTTCTGTTGCTTGAGGGCAAACAAGAAGTAAGTATGGGGGAGTTGATGTTACTGCATATTACATACATTTTGCATACTCATTAGTTAGCTTTTCATTGCATTTACATCACATTTTAGATTAGATTGCATCACTTAGAGTCCTAGAGCATTCATGCACCAGCATACGCATGTTCCTTGCATTTTGCATCACAATCAGGTTGTTTCTGGCTGCTTTGGAGTCGTGGAGGTTCGTGGACGTGCTGAAGCTGTTGTAGCGGTTTGTGGAAGCTCGGATATTTACTAAGGATCAGAGATCGAGGAACAGATCGAGCATGGCAGGTCGATCTAGGATGTGATCGACCAGAAGATCGAGAAGACCAGGCGATCCAAGGAGAATGATCGAGACGAGGATCGAGTGAAGCAGTCGATCAAACGGTACAGACGTAAATGACGCCATGCAGAGCGAGAGCCAGATCGAGTACACCACTCGATCCAACCGAAGATCGATACCGAGATCGGATGCAACACTCGATCCGCCGAAGATGATCGAGACCCAGATCGAGCTGAAGACACGATGTTCGGAGATGATCGAGAGAACCTCTCGATCCCGGAGTCGATCTCTGTCCTTTCAACCAGTTTTGGCCGCTAGCGAGGGGGGGGACCATCAGCTTGTTTTGGCCATTTTGGGAAGGCGGCGACGTCCTTTTCCCACACAACTTTTCATCCTTATCTTTTTATGTTTTTCTCTCTGGTTTTGAAGAAGAACACCATTGTCGAATCTTTAGTTTTCTTGAGCTTTGAAATCGAATCGTTTCAGCTTAATCTAGTTTTCTTTTCATGTTCATCGTTTCCTTTTCCATGCTTTGCTTGATTTACCTTATGTGTAGTGAGTAGTTCATTTGGGTTCGGGGTTGAGAGGGTTAAGGGGTCTAAAGGGTTTCAATCTTGGGGGTTTCTAAGTGTTTTAATGGCTATCTCTTCTAGGGTGTTGAGCTCTCAAAGCTTGAAGACTCTCACGCCAAGAGCTTCATGATCCGAGAGGTTCATTACCTTGACAGGATTCAGGGACCTCTGAAGATCACACCCTAGAGACTAGTTACCCCTTCCCAAAAGCCATGGAAGTTTGGGGGACTAGATAAGCCACCCGTTTGAAATCTGTTTCCATGCCCTTCGACCTCTCTTTCCACCAAAACCCATTGGTTTAGAGGAGAGGATGAAGGAGTGATCTATACCGAAAGCCACGAATAGATCTTGCTTAGTTTTCAAGGCTTAGAGATCCTCACAAAGTGATTCGATTTAAAGTTTTCAACCCAAGGTCAAACCTTTAAAACCCCTGACCATGAATCTCAACCCTAGGCCCTCTCTTTTAGCATCTTTACATCTTCTCTCGTCATTCGCTTGATCTTTAATAGCATCCTGGTCGTTAGTTTAACTGTTCTTGCATTTTTAGACGAGATCGATTGTTATAGCTGGATCTAGTGGTCGATCTCATGGTCGATCCACTAATCGAATTTTAGTAATTCGAAGCTTTGTCCTTTAATTATTATGTTTGTTCCTCATGGTAGTTTGATCATTCCTGGTAATATTAAAATAGTTTGCATCCCATTTAGTTGCTGCATCTAGTTTTTAGGGATTTTCTCAAAACTTATCTTGTTTCACTTAGATTTGCATAGTCCTTGCATTCTCTTTGCATTTTCTATCATCCTAGGTGTGGATTGACTCTCTCTTGCATGTTGTACTACAACCTGTCTTGCATTTGAGTTTGATAACCTCATTGCATTCTCACCCTTGCAAAGAAAGTGTTTATCATCAATCTTAAAACCAGTGTTAAACCAATCTAGATGAAGAACCAATGGATTTATTCCTTCGGTTTTGTAGTTCTAACAATTCATTATCAACTTTTGAATAACCCAAAACCTAACTAGCAGATTACTCATACATAGCAAGTGAAACACAAATCATGATTGAATAAAATTGCATTAAGAAATAGTATTAAAAGATGAAGGGGTTCGAAATTCTTCTCTACAAAGTAAGGTTTTGTCTCCCCAAAAGCTCTCAATCTAATCTCTCTCTTAGTCTCAATGAAAACAAGATAAATCGCCTAACAATGGCTTAGAAAACCTAAATACAAGTGTAAACACAAACTGGGGCCAAAGTGCAAATAGTGGGAAACTTCTGGGCTAAGTTGCAAATTCTTCCAATGAGTTTTTACATTCTCTTCGCGACCACGACTGGTGGGTGTCGATCGACACCGTGCTTCATAGTGCTCTCCGACTTGGTCTTTTCAGCATCAGCTTCAACATAGCTCCAAAAGGCTCCAAAACTCACAGTTATGCTCCAAACGTACTTATACCTGCAAAGACTCAATAGGACTCGAAAAATATCAAAAAGACTCTATAAACAAGACTTTTATAATGGTCAAAAACCAGCAAAAACCATGATATATCATGAACCTCCTTTCCAGCCGACTTTGACTTTGGTGAACCCTTTGATTAGGACTTTGACCAAGCTTTGACCCTTTGACTATAAAATCAAACCTTATTCTTTTAGTTTGTTAAGCTTTATCTTATCTTTTAAGCACAGAAATCTTATCTTTAATCTCTCTCTCTCTCTCTCTCTCTCTCTCATGTCTCTCTCTCTCTCTCATGGCAATTTAGTGACTTTTGGAGAAATTTGAGTAAAAGACTTTTGAGTTTTTAATATAATCTCGCATTTCTTGATATTGATCTTCTGTCTACTGCTTTTGATCATGTTTATGCAATTTTAGTGTATGTCTTTGATAATCTTTTTTCTTTATTCTTTTCAATCATGTTTATCTATATCTATATCATTAGATTTGTGGGTTGGACAATAACTAATGAGTAGCCTTTTTGTGGTCTAAGGATGGGATAAATTAGAGATATTTGATGATTGATCTATGATGTTTAAGGCTAGATTTATATAGATTTTTCATTATTTGATATTTTTTAATGGTATATCTTCTTTGATCATGTTTATTTAAACCTTATGATATTTCTTGCACCACTAGTGTTTGAAGAAATCCTTGAACCAATCTTTTAAGATATTTACATGATTAACCTAGGAGAGTAGATGTTTAATGTATTTATTAGCTTTACAGAACTGAAGTTTAATGTTTGTTGATTATCTTTTCACTAATAATAATTAGATCTAGATTAGATAATTAGCAAGTGATTAGTACCACAAAAGTGGATTAGTCTTGTTTAAGAGTTCTATGTCGAAGGATTCATATTTATATAATTATTTGAACATCATGGATTAGTTAAAGAGTCTCTCTATACCAAGTACCCCATCATAGGATCCATTTATCCTTATTGTTTAAGTTTATTTCATAATTACTCAGTTTTTGCTTGGCTTGAGTGCTATTGCTTAAGTGTTTGAATTTGCTTGATATTAGTTTTGTTATACTATTTATTTAGGTTGCTAAAAACAAACAATATTGATTTTGCTTGGATTAGAAATCTTCGTGCTCTATGTTTGCTTTGTTCATGTGTTATTGCTTAAGTGTTTGAATTTGTTTGATATTAGTTTTGTTTTCCTGTTTATTTAGGTTGCTAAAAACAAATATTTTTGATTTTTCTTGGAATAGAAACCATTTTGTATTCTTGGTATTAGCTATCACATTTGAATGAGAGAGTTGCAAAAATGACTCAAAAATTGATGTCAATTGCAAATGTAATCCACATAATTCACCCTTTCAACATTAGCCATTTTGTCTCCAAACAATCCATCTTAGTTTCAATTATTCACGAAATTGGCATTACTTTAATTTATTTTTTTTTATTTTTAAAAATCCAATTGACCAAATAATCTTTATCTTTCTCACTTATTCACCAAAATGTCATTATCATCAATTCACCCAACCACCATTTTCAACCAATTTCAAGATTTAATTGCACCAAAAAAACTATTTTTGAGCTTGAATAGCTTCATCCATTTTCTCTCTATTTTCTTCCCAAAAAAATCGTAATTTGGCTATTAAAAAGTTGAAGTTCTTAGATTTTGCTATATCCGGCGAATTGGTCGCTCATTGCGATTGAGTTTCTTTGATGGTGGCTAGAATCGAAGTTTTTGGATAGAGAAGAAGCTAAAGATGAGTGATAAGTCAATTTTCAATCAATTTTTGTGTTTTCCAGATCTGGGCCCCGAAAGTAGACTTCATGTGACCAAAGTGAAGTCTACTAGTCAACACACAGGCTAGTTTTGCAATTGATCGTGTAAACAAAGTAGACTTATTTTGGTTCGGATAAAGCCTGTGCCAATTTCTTTCAGAACAAAAAAATGGCACAGACTTCAGAAGCAACTTCTTAGACACAAGTCATTTTTTTTCAATTGACTAACCTTTGAATTTTTAGAGTAGACTTCTTCAAGAAAAGTAAACCTCTCGACGAATTCTACTACTGGAGTAGACTTCTCACAAGTCATTTTTGCAATTGACCAAAATTTGACTTTTGGAGTAGACATCTCCAGCAAAAGTAGACTTCTCCAAAAAGTCTACTCAGATAGTAGACTTTTCCAAGAAGTCTACTATAAAAATAGACTTCTCCAAGAAGTATACTCTAAAAACAAGACTTCAAACATGTCAGTTTTGCAATTGACTAAAAAGTCTACTATCTTAGAGGAGTCTACTCATCTGTTGGAAATTGCAAAACTGACCTGTCTGAAGTCTCTTTTTCTTGACGAAGTCTACTTATTTTTTTTAATGCATTTTAATCAAATATATAATGAATTTTTAAGATTTTTCGTGATCCTGAGCTTGTGTTAGTAAGTGTTCTTGCCTATGCATCAGTTTTACATGTTTATATTTATAGGTATGGTCGAATCAGTTTTCATGTTTTATCAGATACTTAGCTTATTGGTCGCAGACTTCCAGAAGAAGTCTACTTATTTAATGTTGATTTGTAATGTGATTATATAAAATTACTATAGTAGACTTCATTAGCCGTCCGAGAAATCTACTTTTCTATGTTTTTCTAAAACGTATTTTTTATCAAATCTATAATGAATTTTTAAGATTTTTTGGTCCTACGCTTGTGTTACTAAGTGTTCTTGGCTCTGTATTTTATAGGTATAGTAGAATCAATTTTTATGTTTTAAAAGGTACTTAGCTTATTGGTCGCTTTGGAAGTCTACTTAGTAGACTTTAGCAGGCTTTATCTGAAGTCTGCTTCTTCAACTGTTTTTTTTTATAAAAAATTCATTTATCTGTAATTAATGACAAATACAAATTATTCTTTGACTCTTAAGTTTGTGTTATTTATTGGTCTTTCCTATATATGTGTTTTACATGTTTGTTTCTTACAGTTGAGCTTTAATTAATGTTCTTGTGCTATTAGGTATTTACGTTATTAGTAGCAGACTTCCAAAAGAAGTCTACTTTTCACTTTTTTAAATAAATTCATTTATCTGTAATTTATGACAAATAATTTTTTTTACTCTTAAGTTTGTTTGTGTTATTTATCGATCTTGCTTAATTATGTATATGTTTCTTTATTATAGCTAAAATTTAATTAATTTTCTTCAATTATTAGGGGTTCAAGGATGTTGTTAACTAAGTAAAATGTCAAAGAAAAAGTATGGTGATGACTGAGTAAGATGCTAAAGAAAAAGTATGGTGATGACTGAGTAAAATGTCAAAGAAGAAATCTGAGTAAGAAGTGTACTGAGTAATATGATACAAAACATTCATTGCAATCCAACATTACATATTAAGTAAATCCTCTAAACAAACAAACATTTAAGGGTCACTGACTATAAAGCTTAAAATTGGCATAGGGATTCAGTCTTATACTAAAATGTCTGAAAAAGATGTCTGCGACTGAAGTCTGCTCAAGAAGTCTGCGAGTGAAGTCTGCGACAGAAGTCTGCTTGAGAAGTCTGCGAGTGAAGTGTGCGACTAAAGTCTGCTTGAGAAGTCTGCGGCTGAAGTGTGTGATTGAAGTCTGATTCTGACCAATGGCGCCACATAATTACCGTTTAGAACCTTAAAATCACTTAAATCCAACGGAGACAAGTAAGAGCTTTGGTGAGATCTGTATAACAAAATCAGAATTATAAATAAGCTCAGATCTGCAACAATAAGAAAAGAGAAATTTTGAAATTCAGATTTGCAAAAAAAAAATCTACTATATTTACAAAATTCAGATGAAACTAAAAAATGCCAAGGGAGCATGGGTTAAAAAAGAAGAAACTATCGCTGCGGGGGCTTCTAGCTATTTCCAGAACCTATTCACAAAGACACAGCTCGTAAACTTCGAAGAAACACTCCGGTATTTTACCGTGAAAGTTACACCACATATGAATATAGTTTTAACAAAGACCTTGTTGGAGTCAGAAATAAAAACAGCCCTTTTCAACATTAAGCCGGAAAAAGCACAAGGACCAGATGGCATGACTAGTCTTTTTTACCAGAGATTCTGAACGATCATCTGAAGCAAGGGTTTTTGAGGCCCTTGTTAACTTTAAAGTATTCATAATCCCCAAATCAGTTGTACTATAGGGACTTAGGTGTAAAACACACTTGTTGATATTGAGATGCAAACAATGCTGTAAGCTAAGCAAGGTTGGGGATTATGATTATGAAATAGTAACTCTAACAACCTAGCAATGCAGTAAAAGAAAGCAGAATTGATATGCAAGATGAATCTAAAGCAAGAACTAAATAAAAGACAACTTAAGCAATACTTAGAAAGATGAAGACTGAATTTATACTAGTAAAGAAAACTAAGAAAGGCGGTTTCAAGACAACTAATAAAAAGCAAAACTCAAGGTACTAAGCTATAATGGGATTAGTGGCTTTCAAGAGTGACAAAGGGGATTTCTAGCAAAGGCAAACATCAAGCATTCATAAGCAAGTAATTCTCAATATTGTACTCCTAGACAAGATATCTAAAAGGAATAAGCTTGGCGTTAGTATGCAATTCATATTCAATAAGATTGAAGTGTCAAACCCACTTGTGATGGCGTATTCTTCAACCATGAGCATAAAAAACAGAACCATTCTATTCTGAGAGAAGTACTAAACAAGTAAACAACTCTAACCTAAGCAAGAATTCAGATCATGCTATCAATCTTGTGGACCATATAGGGACCTAAGTAGCTAATCACCAATCAAGAATATGGACTTAAGCACACAGTTGTGAAATCCTAACAATGCTAAGCAATGAAGAGAAATCAAACAATGTTAGAATCATTCAATCCACACTATCTAACAATCAAGCAAGAATCTCATAACCAACACTATCTAGCCCTAAGCGAATCATCTAGCATGGTGAACAATCACTTTGGTGTCACTGAACAAAGGAAACATAGACCGAGCTACACTATCAAACCAAATAAGCGAACCATGCATAAAAGTGAGATATCAAGCCATCAAGTGAACCATATGCATCAACAATACAATATTCAGTCAAAAGGGATAAGATTTATGAACAATAATCACTTTGCATGAGAAGAAAACGACAGAGAATAAACTAATCAATCCTAATCACCCTATAATCACATCCTGATCACCACTTTCCCTACTTAGAATTTTAAATCTAAGGTAAACTACTCACTATTCATATTTAATCCCATTCTTTAGAGTTAAACATGATTAGATGAGATTAAAATGCAAAGATAAGGAAACTATTCTACCAGGGTGCTAAATGAAAGACCAGAAGACAAGATCAAACATAAAAATGCAAACTTTATTAAAGGAAATAGATCTAGAGCAAATCGCCCTTTTAAGGTGCAAGAACAAGATGAAAAGATAAAGATAAGGATAACTAGCTTAAGATATCATGAAGACAATGTTTTGTGATTTCCCTTTTATAGTAGGGAACCAAAAGAAGGATAAACAACCTAAACACAAGATAAAGTCAACGAAAATTCGGTGGTCAACGCAGGGATAAGTTGTATCGGGGTTGTAGGAACGGTGTTCTGCTCGATATACAACCCCGATATGGCTCGTGCAGCGCGTATCGGCCTGTGCAACATTCCCTGCTCGATGTAGCACCTCGATGCATCCACTGCCTTAGACTATGTGATCCAATTCTCATCTTCACGTCCCGCGGCTTACATCGGGCACACTCCACAGAAGTTTTGCTCGAAGCTTCTCCAAGGTATGGGACAAACTTTGCAAGACTCCTTCTTTGGCATCTTCTTCGAATGCGAGCTGCTTCTATCTCCTTCCCAAGTTGTAAAACCTCCATAAACACCTGAAAAGCACCAAAGACATGCAAATGTATGCATATGTATGCATTCCTAAATTACGTGCATGCAATGTTGATTATAAGTGCAAAAGAGACTAAAATGCTAAACTATAATGCAAAAAGAAGGGAAAAGATGCATGAAGTGCAGCCTAAACTGCTCTAATATAGCAAGCTATCAACACCCCCACACTTAGCTTTTGCTTGCCCTCAAGCAAACAAACACATAACCTAGTGATGAGGTTATAAAATGGGAACTCATATCTCTAAAAATGCTAACAATAAATCAAAATGAAGTACATGTTCTTAGTTCTAGAATGCACTTGATGGAAGAATACATTAAACACTTAGCCACTTTCATCACAAAACAAGAATGATCACAATG